TACTCATATGGAGAATGAATTTTCTTTTTGTTTTCTAGAAAACAATGAATTTTTTTTTTTTTGGAAAATTTGGGATAGCTTTGAAAGTTTCTAAATTTTTAAATTGATGATTTTACGTATTTTACGTAGAGAATGAATTTTCTTTTTCTTTTTTTCGAAAATTTAGGATAGGTTTCAAAGATTCTAAATTTCCAAATTTGTAGAATTTTCAAATTGATAATTTTACATATTTACATTACGGAGAATGAATTTCTTTTTTTCTGGAAAATTTTGGATAGCTTTCAAAGTTTTTAAATTTTCAAATTGATGATTTTACGTATTTACATTTGTGGAGAATGAATTTTCTTTTTCAAAAGTTTAGAAGAGCTTTCAAAGCTTTCTAAATTTCCAAATTTGTAGAATTGTTTTTTGGAAAATTTGAAATAACTTTCAAAGTTCCTAAATTTTCAAATTCGAAAGTTATTCAAATTTCCACCGATGATTTTTCGAAAATTTCAAGATTTTTTGTAAATTTCCAAATTTGAAGGCTTTCCAACTTTTGCACTAAATCATTAGTGAAAAATCATTAATCATTAAATATTCTTATGGAATAATAATCCTTCCCTTTTCTTCCAACAAATTTGGAAATTTTCCTAAAAATCAACGACATTATTTTCACACCAATTCAAATTTCGATAAAACGATTTTCCACGAGTAAATCGAGTTTCGCTCAACCCCACCCCACCGTTTCAAATCTCTCCTCCCCCGTAATCCGTTACTCTATACTCCAGATATTCCAACATTATACGTAAAGCAAACTTGGAAATTCTGACGTCGCGCGCCTACGATATTGCTCCCACGTCCAAAAGCAATTTCGACCTTAGCCTTACCTCTCCGCTTCCTTTTCGCGAAACAGAGCTTCAACCTCTCATTTCCCTGAGTAATATTACGACGCGATATACGTACTGTAAAAAACACCAACGAAATTTTCTCTTAATGAAACATTCCAGCTATCTCTGCGCTAGCAAAACTTACGCGTGAAAAGCAGAGAAGAAGAAGAAAGAAGAAGAAGAAGAAAATTCTCGATAACTCGATATCGAAAATTAAGCAAGTTGAACTGAAGGAGGAGAAAGAATTTGTATTCAGGGGCTCATCTTGGTGAGTGCCAGGCGAGGAGAGAAAAAGAAAAGGGCTGCGACCCATTTCCCCTCTCCACCCCTGTTTTAAATATCCAGAACACGTGCACACACATTTACGCCGCGGTTTCAATATTCATCAACCGACATTCTCCCCTTTTCTTGATCTCTCTTTCATGCACAACCCGTGGATATTTCACGTTTGAGGAATCTATAAGATTCCAGTGTCTTTTCTTCCTCGAGACGAAGGTTGCAAAACGTTTTATCTGTCGAGTTGTATAAATACAATTCAAATTAAAAAGCGATTCGTTCCTCCTTTCTTTATTATCGTAAAGATGTTTCGTTATCTCTCGTTATATTCGAAACTCGCCAAGATGGGCCAGGTCCAACTCGATTATTGCGCGCTTCGAGTTGTGCCGGCCTGATTCTCGGAAACTTGGTATTCTCCTCGAGGAGAGACGTGGCCGGCTAGAATTTTTAGAACCCCCGTGTTTCTTTCTCATCTCCACGATATCTCGAAATGTTGTTTGGGATTTCTCGATACTTTTTCTTTTTTTTTTTCCTTCCAAGAAAATTTTCTTTCTCGTGGAATTCGATGCATTCGATGATCTCTTCTTTCCTCCATGAATGAAACATTCGCAATTTTAGGTATATTTTGATAAATTCGTTTATATATTTTTGATTTGTTATGTGTATATAGATAGATGTAAGTAGATATAAGTAGGTCGATCGAGCAACGGCTATTCGAGGTTTTAATTGTTTGTGTTGATCGTGCAATGTAGGGAATAGAATGGAAATGGAAAAGTGTGGAGCGAGATGAAACAATTGAAAAATGTATTTGATCGAATTGACGATTCAGAATTAGTCAGCTTCGTTCAGATTCAAAAGGAAGGATCGATTCGATAACGACATATTCGTCGTCAAATACGAGGATAACACAATCGATATGTGCCATCTTAAAGCAAATTTATGTTCTACTGTAAAAAAATTTAACTAATTCATATTAGCCTATTATCGATTGGATTTAAAATAATCGATCAATTGTTGAAAAACAATTTGACAGATTCATTGCTAATCTCAAGAAACATAATCGATATGCCTTAAGTTATACTGTAAAAAGAAATTTAATCAGTCGATCGAATTTAAACTGATTGATCGATTTCTGTAAAATGATAGATTCATTAACCGGTCATCAAACCCATTAACCGGTATGCCTTGTTAAAATTTTACTGTAAAAAGTAATTTAATCGATCGAAGAATTCAAATTAGCCTAGCATCGATCGAATTTAAAAGAATCGATCGATGGCTATAAAATTAAAACGACACATTCATCGTCAAATCTTCTAGTATAATGCAATCAATATATGTTACTTTAAAGTTTTACTGTAAACAAAATTTAATCGATCGAAGAATTCAAATTAGTCTATTATCGATCGAATTTAAAGGGATCGATTGATGGCTATAAAATTAAAACGACACATTCATCGTCAAATTTTCTAGTATAATGCAATCAATATATGTTACTTTAAAGTTTTACTGTAAACAAAATTTAATCGATCGAAGAATTCAAATTAGCCTAGCATCGATCGAATTTAAAAAATCGATCGATGGCTATAAAATTAAAACGACACGTTCATCGACAAATCTTCGAATACAAACGCAATCAATATATGTTACTTTAAAATTTTACTGTAAACAAAATTTAATCGATCGAAGAATTCAAATTAGCCTATTATCGATCGAATTTAAAGGGATCGATCGATGGCTATAAAATTAAAACGACACATTCATCGTCAAACCTTTGAATACAATGCAATTGATATGTGCCACTTTAAAGTTGTATTAAACAAAATTTAATCGATCGAAGAATTCAAATTAGCCTATTATCGATCGAATTTAAAGGGATCGATAAATGGCTATAACGTTAAAATTTTACTGTAAACAAAAAATTTAATCGATGGAAGAATTCAAATCCGTCGCTCGTATTTAAAAGGAAGGATGAATTGGTGTAAAAACGGCAGATTCATTGTGAAGGCCGGGCGTAGTACAACCACGTTGAGGCAAAAGCTGCGATCGAACTGCCGCCACCACCAATCCTATACGTTCCACAGATGGAGATAGCGCACGCGGCGCAGTGTCACGTTCAGTGTCACTTTATCTTGTCGAGGTGAAAACAATGTCTGGTCTGATTTCCGCGGCTCCCCTGCTCCGATGTCACGTTCCAGGGATTCGCTATCACCAGCTTTAGACGATCGTCAACACCGATCAACTCTGGCGAGCCTAGTAATTTCGTGGATCGAAGGGCGTCGTCGAAAGGACTGCCGTGACTCGGTTCATCCCAATACGCATATCTCCAACTTCTCTCTTCCCATCGATAGATTACTTTTCTCTCTGTACGACACCAGGTTCGAGATCGAACGTGATATACGATTACTTCTCTCTCTTTCTCTGTCTTGTTTTATTTTCGTGGCAATATACGAGGCGCAATATACCTTTCAACGCGAAGCCTCAAAGTTTCGCCTCGCGGCGAAATGGTTGTCACGCGTGACACGTTTCCCCTTCGACTCGTCTCCACGACCAGTGTCTCGAATCGATTCGATCCCCCGCCATTAATGTTATTACTTTCATCCGCACTGTCGATAGTTTTTATATTATATTTATCGGTTTCTAATATCGTTAAAAATTTATCCCGAAATTTTGTAATATCGAAACGTTAATATCCGTAAAATTGTTCTTTATTTATGTCGTAACGTTGCATTCAAAGTTTTATTTATTTGAATTACCTAATTTCTTGCCTATTATTGCTTTAACCTTTCAATTTTCTTATTGTTCTCTTAACATTTCTTTCCACGTTTCCTCTATAAATACTTCCATAACAAATAGTTTTCATCCTTTTTACGAAATTATATTATCTTTATTTATACACAAAGGATACATCGTGTAAATCTTTTTTCCATAAAGCTTGAGCTAAATAATAATCAAGAAATTGTGTGAACACTTTTCAAACTGTGCGACGTATTCCAGCAATCGGATCCATCTTTGATAATAAATTTCTCTAAATTTCTCCTTCTCTTACGAATCAACGAAACGTTAATCGAAACGAGGGTGTATAAAACGGTCATCGAAGTGTGTGAAACACTTTTTTCGAGATAAATCTTCTCGAAGGTTCTTCCAGTTATCGAGAGGAAACGTTGACCGATATCAAAAAATTATTGATAGGCGACGAGGCCTAACGTTAAACGTCGAGAATTATACGACTCCCCCCCTCGTAAATCTTTCGTGACACCTTGCTTCTAAAACCGCTCGTAACGATTTTAACGCGAGACGAAAGTATGCCTCGTGCGCCATCTTGAAATTTTCCGCCTTCGATATCTCCTCTGTCATTCCTCCATCTTCCTCCATCCGTATACGTGTCACGAAAGTTGTAAGCGTGACGATCTTCTGTCTCGACGAGAATTTCGGCGAGAAATTTCGCAAAATATCCGTTCGTTGATGTTAATTAGAGTAAGATCCAGAGAAGAGGAAACGTGAAAAATTATATACTTTGTTGTTAGAGTTGGGGAGACTGTTACGTAATCTATTTTTGAGAAGGGTCGTTTAAGACGAGGGATGCACACGTTGTTCCGCTCCTCTGTCGGCGGGGTTTCATCGACCAATCGGGTGGAGCTCGAGCCGGCGTCAGCACCTCTTCTCGAAGGCCTTCCTCTGTTTCACCTACATTTATGCGCCTCTTGTCTCCCTTTCACCTGCTCCACATACGGTTCACAGCCTTTTCCAACACGGCCCTTATCGAGAATCACCTCCCCGCCTAATTTCCCTCCCCCCCTTTTTCCTCCCCCTCTGCTCTCCACGCTCTGATTAATTCAATTTTTTCCCTCATTTCAGATTCGCCTCTGAACGGCACCCAATTGGAACACCAACATCTCGTTCCTAAATCCACCAGCGAATGTAAGTAAATCTTCTCCTAAAGAGAATTTATATTAACGAGTTTTCAACGAGTCGAAAATCGAAGAAATTTTAAACTTTGCCGAAAAGTCCAGCAAATATTTCTATTTTTTCTAATCATACTACGATATAAAAGTTTTAACAAGTTTTTTCGCATGAATGAAGGTGTGATCTCAACCTTTGAGGACGAGTCCAGTCTAACAGGATATCGTGATTTATAAATTTCAAGGATCGTATAAACAAACGTCGTCCGTTTCTTTCACCAGCCTCCAAGTCTTCAAACCTTTCCCCACGAACGCGAAACTGAGTAACAAAGTAAATAAAGCAGATGCACGGATGTGGAGTGTTTTCCACGCGACTTTTTTCATTATGACATCGGGCGGTGGATGAGCACCGTGAAGAAAGCGAACTTTCTCGTTCTCCATCTTTTCTTTCGCGCCTTATTGTCGGGACGAGTTAAAAAGAAACTCCTCCGGCTGCACGAAGAGCAACGATCGATGAAAGAACAGAGGAATTCGTTATCGAATGTCACTTACCCTCTTTCAGAACATCTTCTTTCCTATATTCTTTATTCTATATCCATTTCTCCTCGCCACAATCACGATCCGATCGAATCGAAAAATATTCAACCTTTAATTGGTTATTAATTAACTTTTCATCATATAACGAAACCATTAAATTCTCCAAAATATCCAACATTTTTATTCGTATCCAACAATTCGAATGTAAAATACTCGATCTCTTCTTCGATTATTTCCAGCACACCTGATTACTTTATCAACCTCGACGTCACTCGCAGTTTGTATCAAAATTCTTTTCCCCAAAACTCCTCTCCCCGAAAAAAGAAGCAAAGAGACTCGCTTATTTTACAGGGATGGCGACAAAAGATCCGGGTTAAGAACGAGGCGCATCCGACTTCCGGGTTGCTCTGACCCGAATCGACGATTGTCCCTCGCTCGCGATAAATTTGCGGATTATACGTGTTCGTCCAGGGAGGGAATGTCGCCTCCTCGACCTAGTTTGCCGCGGATTGTACGCACCCGATGATAGTCGCAACTGTTTGTGGGCTATGCCCGAATTTATTAGACGTCGAGCCTCTCGAAAGTTTTCCTTTTCATTTCGTTTGATGGTGGTTTATAATGGTTATAATGGAGTAATGAAAATTCGAGAATTGCGTTTTCGTAGATTTTTTTGGTTGATATTTATGACATATTATTAATAGAGGATCTGTATTGAAAAGTAGTTTTTTTTTAGGGAAAATAAAATATGAGATGATATTTGAAATATTTTTCCAATAAATGTTATTTCTCGGCCTTTTCGTGGTTATATCGGTTATATCGTGGCAGGAATTTTTAGTTATTTGGAGAATAATTATTGGATTGAGAGAGAGAGGGTTTTCTTTTTTAATTAATATTTCGTTTTTACATTTTTTTTTTCGCTGATAGAAAGGGAGGAAGGGAAAAATAATTACGATCGATTACAGAGTTCTAGTTGATGAAAAATATAAATGTTTCAAATAGAAAATACGTAACGTAATGATATATTTTGTAGTAATAATTTTTTATTCAAAATTGTTTTGTTCCCCACTTCTTTTTTGCTCGATGGATAAAATAATAGAATCGAAATGAAATAATAAGGATGCAGTAATATATCATTTTTGAAAATTCTTTTTTTATTTAAAATCTTATTCCATTATGCATGTAAAATAATGTTTCGCACATCTTTGAACGATTACGTGTTAATCATTCCTCGAGTTGTTCATCTTTGTCAAATATTAACCGACTACTTTTCAGTCAATTTGAATCAAATTGACTCATGAATTTTGTTTCTCTGAAAGTTCGTTTCGCCAAAGTTTCAAGCTTCGTGGAACTAAAGACTAAAGAACATCATAAATGTACATTACAGAATAACTTTGATAATCCTCCTAACAAACTTCTTATCAATTAATCCTCAAATATCTATCCAAGCAACTATCCAATCTCCTTCCAATCAATGATCGATTTAAAGATAATTTGTCATGGAAATCAAAGTTTGTCCAACAAATTCGTCTGAACAACAATCTATTCACGTATCATCCAATTGCATTATTTCGTGTCGCTGGTAATCAATTTATCAGACGCGATATCGATGCTTTTGTTCCTCGTGTCAAATATATCGGTAGTGATGGGAATAAATAACTTCGTGGAAAGTGGGATGAGGTATATCGCTTCAAATTTCTCACGAGAGAAAAAATTAATTTACCGAGGATACCGAGGATTTGAAACGAGTCGAAAAAATTGGATCCGTTCTTCTCTCTTTAACTTCGTGCAAGTTCGGCAACACTCGGATGCAATCGGATTACCACCTTAATAACTGGACTTAGCCTCTCGAGCCGATCGTATCCGGTTTTTACCGAATCGATCCGAAGTCGGATTCCCTGGTCAAACTCACTTAACGTGTAGTCTAAACCGAGAGCCGAGAGACTCGAAACATTTTTCATAATCTTTTAAAGTTTAGGCACACTTATATATTCTGAGAAATGTCAAAAAAATGCTTGTATAAATATATTTTCCAATCTCTTACAAGCGATCGAAATGAATAAGAAATATCAAAATGCTTATACGAATATATTTCCCAATCTCCTTAAGAGCGTAATCGAATAATAACGAAATAAATATTTCTCGTTGAAAACCTCGCCTCTTCGTGGATTCATATTGGAAGTTAACTCCATCGCTAATCCTCGCTTTCCCACCGTTGAACGCGTAATTATATAAATTACACGAATACTAATTCCCCCTCATTGGCGGGGGTAACGGCATTAAAATAGAAAGCCGGATGAATTATCGATTGGGGAGCAGCAGCGTTGGGGATGTCGAGATTAGTTTCCGGATAACAGTGAAACACGGTTAATACGATAAAACGGTATCGCGTACAGATTCGATAATTCGCTATAAATAATACGTTAATATCCTTTTAGCTTTTAATTATCATCCTTTCGCTTGTCAAACGTTCGCGATTAATCTCGCTCGAGAAAAGAGGAGGTAATCTCTCTAGGAGGATCCTTCCTTCGTCTTCCTCGTGGCTTAATTATCCGTTAATTAGATAAACGTCGCGGTTTAGAAGGAAACCTTAATCCCCGTAATATTTCACAATCACGCGAGAGAACCCCCTTCTCCCTTCGTGGTTACAGTCGAGGAAAAAAATTCTGCTTTGTACCCCGCTCTTTAAACGAGCTAAATTTTCGAAGTTTTTTACCGAGTTAAGCTCCATTTCTGATCTTGAATTTGACGTTTAATTTCTTTGATTCAACAGAATTTTCTTCGAATGTATTCTTCTTTAAATATCATCGGATTACGATAAACGCTTTCTTTTCTCGACTTAACGCTTTTATTTTAAAATACTTATTTCGTTTGCATATACTTACGTCATTTTCCAAATAATTGGAAAGGAATCAAGTCTAAATCTCCAAACTTCGCTTCTCGAAGAGAATATTTCAAATATTTCCTTCGCAATGTATAAATTCGCGTGAAAAATATACACGATCCGATCAATCCACGGGAGGAACAACAAAAGAATTATTTTCTCTTTTTCTCGAAAAAAAAATCTTATTTCGTCGTTCGTTTTATTCCGTATTCGTTGCTGATCGTAAACTCATCACAATAATTTATATACGCATGCGTAATAGAGAATTTAAATAATGCCGCGGTCGTAAATCGGTTCGAAGGACGCCGATAAAGATACACCACGTGTTGAAAAATTGAAGCGAAGTTCGACCGGGTCGAGAAGAGAAACGATCGATGATCCGCACGAGTGATTGAAAAAAAGAAAGAAAGAAAATCGAAATCATCGCGATGGAATGATTTAGCTAGGCGCGTGCAATGTGCCTGTTTCGAAATTTGATTAAGTTAATTCGATAACCGTGGCTTATTTTCGCTACGAAGCCATCGTGCAGAAGCTTGAGAATTAAACGGGGAGTCACGAATCTGCGGAGTCACGGATATAAACGACTCAGTTTGAACTCGGGGAATGCGGAATGCATTCTGTGGAATCCTATCGATTACTTTGGTTTCACTCGAGAACATTGTCGTCGTCCATCGATCGAACGTGCACGTCCTCTCTCAATCATTTTCCATTCCCCCTTTTTTTTTAGGATAACAGTTTTCTTCTTCTTCTTTATTTTTTTTTTTTTTTTTTTTTTTTGTTTAGAAGAAGAAGAACGCGCTCGGCTTTTCGATAAAGGGAAATTTAATAATTGGGCGAGATCGTATGAATAATTGATGAGGATCTGGAAAAATATCTCCTCGGGAGCGAGCCGCGTTCACTCGAGAACGTTCAACAGGAAGACAGTTTATTAATTGGACAAAGTTGAATAATGGACAATAAAGATTCTGGGGAGGGGAATTTAAAAGAGTTTCACTTCTTCTTTTCGTAGTGGCGGGATAGGGATTCGATAATTGCAAGAAAATGGTTGAATAACAAGGGTGATGAGTGTGTTTTCTCTTTTAATCTTCGAAGATTTGTGAAGAAAGGAAATTGATAATGATAAAATTCGTGTTAAAATCGATTAAAATTATTCATTTTAAAATTATAAATTTATTTGATATCACTCAATTCATCCTTATACGTATATTTACTAAGAGATAAACAATATACAAAAATAGCTAAATCTACCAAAGCAAACATCCTTGAAATTATTCGAAATGAATTGATTTAATGATTTCACGAATCGATACTATGTGAATTATAACAATTCGATTCGTCTCAAACCTCAACTGCTTCGATCAAAGTTTCGAAGATCAATTTTTCTCTCTCGATCGATCGATATTTGGCGAGGAAACGAGAAAATGGAGATTTCACGAATCGATACTATGTGAATTATAACAATTCCATTCGTCTCAAACCCCAACTGCTTCGATCAAAGTTTCGAAGATCAATTTTTCTCTCTCTCTCGATCGATATTTGGCGAGGAAACGAGAAAATGGAGATTTCACGAATCGATACTATGTGAATTATAACAATTCGAT